TTATATGCCGCCCACACTACCCGAAGGTCTCTGGGCGGCTTACAAAGAAAGGTGAATCATTTAATGTTACTGATTCTCTGTCCCATTTTAAGAGCCCAGAATTAGTAACAATGCTCAGTGTAGGATAACAGCAAAATCCCTCCTTGAAGACATGTAGCAGTAAATAAAACGATTATAAGAATTCAATCAAGGGGAAAAACACAAACAGTTCAGTGTTTTGCATACCTTATGTGCTGATTCCTTATTTCATATGAATACCAGGGATAAATCAAGATATGTTTTATATGTATTGTTCCTTCATTTCTTCTCTTTCTAAGTATGTATATGGTAGTATGCTACTAACTACCAATTCTGAAGCTTTTAAGTCATAATCTATTACAGTATTCTTTAAAGCTTGTCTAACATTCTGCAGTAGCTGCAGAAAACGTCTCTTAGCTACATGTAGCCATTTACTTAGCAGTGCTTACAATAATCAATACGATTAAAGCATTTTACTCTCTATATTGAGATACATGTTTTTCAGGTGTATTTTGTATGCTAATCCTTGGCAACAATTGCACTCCAAAGTACATGTCACAAAATTTTCTGGGGCCAAGTTTTCTGCCAGATCTGGAACTCTAATGTCTATCTACGTATCCAAAACAAAACATTCACGGGATGATTCTCCTGCTGTACTTATCAGGCATCCCGTGAACCAGCCCAAAATATTCTGCTACCTGAGGAGAAGCAGAGGATTGTGTTCCCCCAGCAAGATACATAGTGTCAAATTATTTTGGCACCTGAAAACCTCTCAGCAAGAAAAGCACAGCACTAATACATTGAATTTCCAATACTACTGTATACTGTTTTTCAATACACCCCCAAATCTGCTGCCTGAGGTAGATCTGTTTAATGATGGGGCCAGTCCTGATTATGGAAACGATTAACAGAAATGATTGAATCATTTTCATTATCACACAGAATCTCTTAATTTTGAAAAACAACCAATCCACTTTAGGGATGTTTTCTAAAATCTTCTTAGGAATCAAGCCCAAGCAATGAGCTGGAATTATACAGTATCTGTTTGTGTCAGGAAACTCACATTATGCCATTCAGACTTTTTAGTCATATACAGATCCAAAATTTTTCTTTGCTGAAATTTTCTGTGAGCATGTTTATTGGGGAAAACCTTAACACAATACTGTACAAACTGTTCTGTTTTATTTCCTTCACTCTGTCAATCAGTGCATGAGGAAGGGATTGGCTTCGGGCTTATAACTCTTATTTGTTAAGATTTTCAACATAGTCCATTTTCTGTGAGTACATGCCTAAGATTTCATGTGAAGAGGTTATTTAGCATGCTTGAGACAACACTACCGGTTATTCAAGAGCTGCAAAATGGCATCTTTTTTCTCTTGTTCAATGCCTTATTATGAATGGCTGTATTATGATTATACTCTGTACACTGAGCACAGAAGTAGAACGGGGTAGTTATACTGTGCTTTACATATACTGTAAGTTCGAAGACTGAAAGGGAGTGAGGAGTGTTTCTTGAGAGGGGACATGGTGATATCTGTTTCTTGTCTGTTTCATGTATTTGTGATTTTTGCAATTCTTTATGAAGACTTAATGTTTCTTCAAACTGCAGTCAGATTGAGATGGGAAAAACTTTATTTCCTTTCTATCCTGAAAACTTAACTGGGGATGAAGGAGGCAATCTTAGGACTAATCCAGTGTTAGCTCTAACTAGACCAATCCCATTAAAATTAATAAAACGTTTTAGTTACAAATAACATAAATTCGTTAATTTTTATGTATTTACTCTAGTTTAGCATTGGCTTTAGCCCACAGAAATTTCTGTCTAGAAATTACGGAGGACTTACTTTTTTTCTACTGGGAGAATATGAAAACTTAATAGAAAGCTATGTACTTTATCAAGCTAGATTTTTTTCTATCTATTACAGCTTGCAACTTGCTTAAGTATGATGTAACTCTCTTTTCACTACAGTAATGCCTGAGGTGCTGATTTTAACTTCCTGGTGCTTAATTTTTTTCTTGAATATTGTGAGCCTAAGTGAAGAATAATTTGTATTTCCGTAGACAGTACTGAAATAGAACTCCAGAAAACAGCTGGCATGCAGGCTACAATAGAAAATGAAGATGTGTAAGGAAACAGAATTGCCCTCAGTGATTCACATGAATCAAAATTATCCTCAAAGATCCTCTGTTGCAGGTTTTTTGGATACATTGTTTGATGACAAAAAAGGTTAATACTAGGCCACATAAACCAGGATTTGTTCGATACTGCTATTTTATTCAACACAAAATTGCAGCGACACATTTTGAAAAATCTATATCTATTTTCATGTGGAACTGCCAATTCCAAGCTCAGGTCCAACCTCATTTGACACATTTGTAAACAATAAACTGATTTAGTATCAGTGTAACTACAAAAGAAATTATCTACAAAGACTGCATAGCTGCAAATGGTAAAATATACATTTAATGTAAACATAAATAAAGAAATAATTGGCTCACCCGAGACTAGGCAGCCAAATAAAGACAAATAAATAAATATCAGAAAGATTAAGAGTTGTCCACTTTCTAGATATTTATTAAACAGCCATGATAAAAGCATTCAATGCTGGTGTGCATTGGTATAAGCATTACTGAAAATTTCTTAATAAACATGCAAAGACTTGGGCAGAAGGAGCACAACTAGACTTCAGGAATCGGAGTTTGACATTGATTTAAGAACTGGCTGCACTTGAAATCATAATGGCGTTTCCATTGCTTTAGGACCAAAAATATAGTTTTGCAATCTTAAAATAAAAAAAATGGAGTGTGTTTCTCTGCTTATAAGCCAGCATCCAATCCTACATTATGTGTCTTCTCTCCAGCTAGGTTTGGAAATTTTCTTTAATTTAGTAGCTGAAGGCAAGCTGAGTGTTTCTCAGGCCATAATGCAAATCAAAGTAGTGTTTGACAGGCTCTCTGTTACTGGCTGCAATTTAATACAGTCAGAACCATTGGAAAGTATAGCATGATTAAGAGGCGTGAAGACAGAGGTCTATAGTCTGTTGGAGGAATCTAACAGAAGTGTTTGTCTTGATCCTGCATAACATTATAAGGGTGTGTGCCTTCTCTTCCAGACTACAGTACTAAACGTGCCTGAGCATTTGCTCCAACAAGATGCTCAGAATAACAAGTGATATTCTGTAGCCTTTCTATCAGGTTTTCCCAGTCAGATCCCATTTATAAAAGTTTTTTGTATGTTTAATCAAAGATGTTTACTTACTCCTCCATCAAAGTCTTACCTAAATAGGCCAAAATCCAGTTGCTAATCCAAACAGTAGACCCACTGAATTGATTGGAACAGCCTTCAGCTTGACGTATTTCCATCTTCAACAGCTATGTAGTTGTCAAAATAGGGTGCGCGCTGTCTGCTTTGTCTGGATGAAACTATGCTTGTTGCTATGTTGCAGCACTAAGAGCCCTTTTGAGAGCAGGCCATCTACTCCATGCCTTAGGGTGAGCTACCCCAGTCCTCTGATTCTACCTCTTTGTGGCTCCCTGTTGCCAACTGCAAAACTTTGCACTAGTTAATGATGACTGCAATATAGTGACAAAAGATAGCAGTCTATGTTTAAAACACATAGGCCAGCTAATGAACAAAGCAGAAAATCCTGCCAGCAATCTGGGATTGCATCCCTTGACCAAAATCTACTGCTGTTGTGCAAGCAGTGTTCTTTACAAACAAAACTTTACCTCCCTTTGTGAAAAGAGCACAATCTCATGTTACTGCACTAGCAGGACCTTCTACATGGTGGAAGCTCAATAGGATACTGGCCATTAAATTAAAATTACCTTATGCATTTTAAAAATCAAATATCCCTGGATATGGTGATTTTAGTATACATACCAAGCTTTGTGGTCTTGCTGCTATAACATACAGGCTTTCCTTTATTATGAGTATTAGGCTGTCAGAACCCATGTATTTGGATTCCATTCCATAATGACAGAGCTACAATGAGTGATTTTACAGTAATCCTGGAATAAAAAGTATTTGACACCAGTAGCAATGAGTGTAATTATGCTTTCTAATTCTGCCACTCAGCTGAGCAGCCAAAATATATATTGGCCCTTATTTATATTTGCATTTTAGGTTGTTTCTTACAGCTCTTGCAACATCTAACATAAGCATGACACCCTTTGCTAAATACAATTCCAGCTCTGCCAGCCCAGGTAAGTGGCAAACATCAGTGGTTTTGGTTGAACTGAGTAGCACCCAACGTTTATCGTATTAATATTTAGGCAACTAGAAAATGATTTGTATGCCACAAGAGTGAATTCTCTTGTTATTATGTATGTATTTAATTCTCAGCTCCCTTTCAGAATAACTGAAAAAAACCAAGTCTACAACTGAGCCTAAAACTTATGTGGAGAAAAGGTATGTAGGTAGCAAGGATACACAGAACATACAAAATCTGACTTGTGAAAAAAATACAGAAAACCTTACAGTCTAAAAACCCAGTGGATAAGCTTGGATGTTCTTCCCCAGCAGTTTGAACAAATCCGGTTTTGTAATGTCATACTATAGTATACATGAGAATGTATTATTGTTGCTGAGTAGATTTAACATATTATGCAAAATCCTTTTGCTTAGTTCACTGTGACACCTGAATTACCTAGTTATGCCAAGGTGGATATGGTATCCATGAAGCACTTCTGCTGGTACCTTGCACAAGGGTCACATTACAAATCATGCAATCAGTTACATAATTGAATCAAACAATTCTGTTGCCAGGCATACTACCCAGCACATTTATGTGGGCGTAACTTGATGTTATGTCTGCACAAACAATATTTTGGCCATTGTCTTTTTTGATTGGCCTAATGTAGGTATCATTCCAGTAGATTCCAAACCCTTTTTGTAACACAAGCTAAACATTAGTAAATCCAAGCTAATTTTTGCAACTCTTGAGTAAACCAAATGCATATACAGTGGTGCCTCACTTAACAATTTCCTTGCTTAACGAGGAAATTGCTTGACAATTAGGTTTTTGCGATCACAAAACAATGGTTTAAATGGGAAAAATCCGCTTCACGATTATCAGTTCCCTGCCCTGGGAACAGATTTTCGCATTACGATTTAAAAACAGCTGATTGTCGGGTTTCAAAATGGCCACTGGGTGTACAAAATGGCTCCCCGCTGTTTTTAGGAGCCATTTTTCGCTATACAGGCACCCGAAAATGGCTGCCCGTATGGAGGATCTTCACTGGACGGTGAGTTTTCCGCCCCTTGGAATGCATTGAACAGGTTTCAGTGCATATCAATGGGCTTTTTTATTTCGCTTTACGGCGTTTTCGCTCTACAGCGATTTCGCTGGAATGAATTAACATCGTCAAGCGAGGCACCACTGTACTTGAAGCAATCACATTTTCTATTTACATGCCTCCTCCCGTCTCAAAGTTTAGATTGTATGTTCCCTTAGATCAGAGGTATGTCCTCTTATACTGTACTTTGTAAAGCACTGCTCTGATGGGTTGCCAACACAAATCATTTGATCAGTGTAACTGTCATTCAGCAGGGCTGTTTTCACTTTTTACCTTTGTCCCAAGCATGTAACTGGAACCTCTTTCATCTTATGGCTTATAAGCAACCAAAATTGTTCCAGTTTCTACGTTTCTGATTTGTCCCCTATTGTTTAGAAGCAAAGTAATTTTGTGGGGAATGAAGCTTGCATGTTTCGAGTGCTCTTTGCTGTCAACATTTAAACAAAGTTGAAGAAAAGGTCAGCTGTACATTATTCTGGAACTGAGTATTCCCTTCCCAAATCTAGTCATTTTATGATTAGGCACAGTGTTTAACATAGAATACAAGGCAATGTTACTGGAGTAACTGAATTCATTACCAATTAGACAACAAAGAGGAATAAAGACATTTATAAAACAAATTAATAGTTACAACACAACTGTAAAAGCTGGGAAATATCTCAAGATGAAGGTACAAAGGTCACAGTCTGAACCCAAAGTGTAGAAAGTGCATTTCCTTCCTCCTCTGTTTCAGAACAAGAATTAACATGGATTGTATTTGGCTTTTCTGTAAAGGGAGCCAGAAATGCCTTAGGAAAAGACACCAGCATGAGGGCTGAATAGTTCATTTCTTGCTTAGGAAATATGTCGAAGTGTTTTGCTCAGTATCTGCAGAAGCTTATCTGAGAAATGATTTCCCACTTGCCCCTTCACTAGAAGGATGCAACTTCTCTACATCTTCAAGGCTTAATCTTTCATCACATTTGTTCTCCTGTTCAGTAATCCAAAGTCTAGTCCCTAGTTTTAGTGCTCAATGTCACAAACGAGCAAAACTACAATGGTGCCTCGCAAGACGAATGTCTTGTTATCTGCAGAAGCTTATCTGAGAAATGATTTCCCACTTGCCCCTTCACTAGAAGGATGCAACTTCTCTACATCTTCAAGGCTTAATCTTTCATCACATTTGTTCTCCTGTTTAGTAATCCAAAGTCTAGTCCCTAGTTTTAGTGCTCAATGTCACAAACGAGCAAAACTACAGTGGTGCCTCGCAAGACGAATGTCTTGTGAAAAAATCATCTTATGAAAAGCGGTTTCCCATAGGAATGCATTGCAATGCATTCCTATGGGAACCTCACAAGACGAATGAATTTTTTTTTGTCTTGTGAGGCATCAGTCTTGGAAAAAAATCATCTTGTGAATCATGGTCATAGAGGAAACCGTCTTGCGAGGCACCATAGCGATCACAAAAACCATCCGTCTTGCGGGTTTTTCGTCCCGCGAGGCATTCGTCTTGTGAGGCACCACTGTACTGGGACGTTTTATGCCCCATAAGCCACTAAGGAATGTTAGTCCATTTATGATCGGCTTCTTGATATCTAACTGCTAAGAGGACTAAAGGGCTTTATATAGGGCAGTTCATTTCATTGTGTGATAACTAGATATAACACAGTCTTTTCTCATAGCCTGGTAGTTCCCACTGCTCTAAGTGGGGGAGGGGGTGTCTAGCAACTCTGCCAAGGCTACATTGAAAACAAAGGCAAAGTGAACAATAACTTGATGGAATCATGTTGTCTGGCTACAATTTAAATAAGGGAAAGACAAGGCATGCAGCATAGAGTACAGGATGCAGGGAATACTTAAAAAAAGATACTAGTGCACTGTAACCTACAACTGGAAAATGTGGTCAACCAAATGATTTGGGGGCAAATTCACACAGGTCTTTCAGCCTAACATAGCATTAACTCCATAGTGATCAAGGAATTGACAATGGAAGATGAAAATTCCAGTTTGTTATACAGATGGAAATCTTCCAAAACTAAGCATAGCTGCTCTGACTTACAAGAAAGATGTTCACATAGGCAGGACTATCTTATAGTTTGTGGTTTAAAAAAATCTTCACTAAAGATTTTTTTGCAAGAACTTATGAACTGTATAAATTATGCAAATGAAGCATGTGTTTCATCTTGTCTAACATACTCAACTTCTCCAAGTAATCGCTAGAGTTAAAAGCTTCATAGGGCATTTCTGATCATGAGAAAGGTATGCAGCATCTCATCTGGCTTTACTATCATGTGTATATCTGCAAGCATAATGGCTAGTAACTTGCCCCTGGGGAAAAAAAGAAACCAGTTTTTTTATTGTTTGTTTTAAGGAAGTAGTGTTCTGTGACCAGTACCGTATTTGGCTGCCCTGTGGAAATGTAGCCTTCCCTGGTGGCAAATAAGGTGTTTAGAACATGCATTTTCAGAATCACTGAAAATGAACATGAACATTATGTGGTTAAGGAGCCATACTACCTTTCAGATTTAACAGATTGTTACTGTCATTTCCACACTTCAAATTTTACTATTATTTTATTGCCCTAAGTCATAGTAATAATTGCTGTCCCTTTGCATATCGACACATTCTACCCTCAGGGCAAACACTTTTTTTAAGTGATGTGCCCATATGGATGCACTGTGCACTTTTCCATTCTGTGAATATACCAAAAGGTGTTTGGAGTGTTTAATAGATGCAGCTCCTGAAACTTCAATGAGCACCATGAAGTATTTTGCATTTTGGTTCATCTCAGTACCTCCAAATCAACTGAGATGAGAGAACAGTAAGTAATGCTCTGAATGAGCAACAAGCAGGTCCCATTCAAAGTAACTGGAATATACAAGGAATGAGCAAGGAGTATCCCAAGTCTTTTTCCAACTGATGCCGAAAGTCTCAGGAGCCAGAGATTTGGTCTCCATGGCTTTCCTTTATTGTTGAAGCATGCTCACTGCATCCTGCACTGGAGTTTGAGAGTCCTTGTGTGGCAGCTACCAGTGTTGAACATCCACACAACCACCATGTTATGTCGTTGGTCAATGTTTTGATCTTTCTGTTAGAAATCCTTCTCTGTTACTGTAGGGGTACTTCCAGGACATGATTTTGATCTTGTCAATTGCCCATGTCAGACTGTAAAGAAATGAAAGAGCCCAAAGGTTAGTATTTTTGCCCTAGAAAGTGAGAATTGCCTAGAAGCACAAGTTCATATTTGGAAAGATCTCTACAGCACTTGCCTTCAAACTTGTCAGAATCAAGACTCACTTTTAATCCCCTGATACAATGTGTGACCAATTATCAATCAGTTAATCATTACTGTATGGTAACAGACCCAACAAGAATTATTACTTAATATTACAGTATGCCTCTTACCCTATCCTACAAAAATAAAAATAGATTCTAATTTAAAAGTAGCAAACTACAATGTTACTGATATGATCCACCTTCCTTCAGGGGGAAATATATTGTCAGGTAGCATGCATACAGCAGCAGAACTGATATAGTTCAATTAATGCTTTTCCTGACTACATGATATGCAGCAAAACATGAATCAGCCCAGCTATGTTCTGTGTTTATTCACTGGTTTGTTTGTTTGTTTTTGCTCCACCAGCACAGACTGCTTTTTGTTTTTTGAAGCAGTTCAATTCACACTGTTTTGTGGGATAATTAGACTTTTCCATGTGGACAGTAACAGCAACATGGGAGGCAGTGATTTGACCTGATTCCAAAAGAGATTAAACTGATTCAGCCCTCCAGTGCAATCACATCCTCAACTACAAACATCAACCCACAAGAAAATACGATTTTATGATTCTATGACTAATGGTGTATTATTTTATTTAACGTGATGCTTCTAGCATTAAGTTGGAACAATCTTAGGTACCAACTTACAATCCAAATATGGCAAGACCACTGGGAATGTAGAAATTAGAGATTAAAAGATTGGAGAAGAAATGTATTAAGAAATGATTTAAGACATTTGCAAGAAGGAAGACATAAAGATTTCAGAAGGCACTGAGTTCCAGAATTAGAGATTTAGCCAAAAGGAGAGATAAAAGCAACTAGAGGAGGATCCAAACAGTGAGAATTTTTAAAATAAAAATTAGAAACTGAATGCTAACATCAAAAATCCTGTGTAAGAGTTAGCAAGAGGAAAAATTTGGGTAAGACAAGCCATAGGGAAAGAAAAAGAACCCAAATGAGTAGCAGAATTTAAAAAGAAGAATGGAAAATAAAGTTGATAATGTGGCAGGTCAGAATGAAAAATTACAGTAGTCAAACTGAGGAAGAATAAAATAAGCTTTGTAACAGATGGAATATTTAAAAGAAAACAATTACAGGATATTTATTAAATTATTAACATCCCATTTTTGTTAGCAGTTGACATTAAATAGAGTGTAGAGTTGTGAAAAGGACTCCAGGATTCTTTAAAACACCAGGAATGTTACAGGAAGAATTATGGCTTCAAAATTTGACTAGCCCAATAAAGATAGGAGATAGCATGCTTGACTTGCATCGGGGAGTCTTGATTCACATGTCCACTAATCTATGAAGCTCAGATAATGGTCTCATGCAAATAACTAATTCATAACCAGCCTATATCACAAGATAACTGTGTCAGTTCAGAAGGAATAAAATCCACCAGGAAATAAAAAGTTACACTTTAGATCCTAGTTTGGTGGCAGGGGAGGGCAAACATGTCAGTGAGATCAACCCTTCTACATGAAATAAAAAAAGTGTTGTGGCATCTAAAAGACCAAAAAGCTTTCATTTGGCATATGATTTTGTGGACAGCAGCACACTTAATTGGATGTACGATGAAATCCAGCTGTTTTAACATTACTCATACATTTGAGCAAAATGCTTCTCGCAACTTTTCTTCAGTGACAGTGGCAAGGGTGTACCAGTAGTGTTCCAAGCCACACTGGGCAGCTAGACTGAGCCACTATTTATATCTGCCCAATGTCCTAGAACAGTGGTTCCCAACCTTGGGTAACCCAAGTGTTCTTCAATTGCAACACGCAGCCAGCATAGTGACAACATACCCTCTAATTTTCAGCTCCACCTCTCTCGTGTGTATCCGACTCCCCCCACCTGCATTCAGGGTTCTGTCGTGACCAGAACCTAAGGGGTTGAACGTGATCGCTGTGTAGAGAAGGAAGATAACTGTGTGCACACCTAGCTTAGAGGGTTAAGTGTTGAAGGCTTCTGGGAGTTGCAGTTCAAGAACACCTGGTTACCCAAGGATGGGACCACTGCCCTACAAGAACGTTGGATCAGAGTACTGTAGAACATTAAATCAGAGGCCACAGCCACTTGTCTGTTCAAATTGTCAAGCCAAAAATATATTGAAAGGGGGCTCCTTTAAAACAGGCACAGACACCAGTAGCGTGTCCTGGAGGATTGCTGGAATCCAGTTCAAGGATGCCCAGTGCAGACACCAGTCTTGATCCTACAGATACAGTGACAATGGAATAGCAATCAATGATCATAAATTTTACTTGGATGACTAGTGAAACATTTCAGCCTAATAAGAAAGAAGTCCAGATGCCATGACTCAACTTCCAGATCACATAAATTTAAGTTTCTTGTCCCAGGTTTTAGTCTCAAGTGTATGACAGCTAGCAGTCACTCACCTGCAAAAGCTCTTGCTGTGAACTCAGAGCCACCACCTTTGCTCGCTTGTACAACTCTTCCATGTGTTCCTCTACAATATTAAGCTTCCGTTTCGGAGACGTCTGGCCACAGTGGGATTGCCTTAGTGCTATGAAAAGATGTGTGGGGCAAGAGAGTTTTAAAAAAAGTTTTGTTAGAACATTTCCTTCTATAGCCCTAAATATTGTCATCTAGGCATGCAACTATTTGTAGCCCTGCCCTGAGTGGAAGGAATGGGCTCTTGGTGACTGGGAAAATGTAATGCAGAAGAGCCAGAGATTCCCCTTATGATTTGTCAGAATGTAGCACTGGATACAGTTTTCAGTTAATGCCAGCTTTTCTGTTTAAACGTACTCTCAAGCCATCTCACGTTTAGAGAGAATATACTTTAGGCTCCACAGAACTTCTACAAGCTTCTAGAGACCTCACTGAATTCTGAAGCAACTACAATGGAGATGCTTTAAAAGTTAAGACTCTCCCATTGCTACTTGTGGTGTAACTAATCTCCTTCATAGCTAATTGGGGTCCTTTTAAGGAGTAAGGTGGGGTAAACACATATGTAATGAAATAAAATGAAATACAGTGGTGCCTCGCTTAGCGATTGCTCCGTTGAGTGATGAACTTTTGGCCATCGCTGGAGCAATCGCTTAGCGATGTCCCCTATGGCTAAAATTCGCTTTGCGATGATCGTGGGGAAGCGATCGTGGCAAAGCGAACTTTTTTAAACAGCTGATCGGCGGTTCCAAAATGGCCACCGCAAAAACAAAATGGCCGCCACTGTTTTGCCTCGCTTTAGAGGCACCCAAAATGGCCACCGCTATGGAGGAATTGCGCTTTAAGGTAAATTTTTAACCCATAGGAACGGATTAAACGCATTTTAATATGTTCCTATGGGCTTTTTTAATATCGCTTAGCGATTAAATCACTTAGCGATGTTTTTCTGGAATGGATTAACATCGCTAAGTGAGGCACCACTGTATATAATTCATTTGTGCTCACCAAATGCCTGTTAAAAAACTCAAATTTATGTACTCACTTATACTGGTGCAGCCTCCCTGGTTTGCAGAAGGGTCGACTGGGTTATTGAGGTCTTCTATGCAGGAAGGGACAGAGGCCAATAAACCTGGGGAAAGTAATAGTAATGCCTCCATTAAAGAACTGGCATGCCTGTTTAATGCATTGTGAAGCACACTTGGATTAACTTAAACATTAAAAACAGAGATATGTTTACATGGTCAAGACTCAGGAATAAAAGTAATAAATCTGATCTCAGAACAATCCTAACCGAGGCTCACCAAGAGGGAGTTAGTGGCATCAGTTCCAGAGTGGCATAGTTGAAGGGCCTAATCCAGGCACCTCTCAGAGGAATAAGGGTGCTTTAGATCCAAAACCATCCCTGCCCTGATCTTAGAACTCCCTATTTCAGGGCTCAAAACTGGTGACTGATAATTTATTAATGTGCTATTATGGTGTTAAGTGATGATAACTGTAACAAAGATATTAATCCAAGTTTAAGATAACATATTTTGGAATTCATCATTCAAGTCACTGAAAGATTTTTAGTTATTTTATTATGAAAGGCATCAAAACCATAATATTTCAATGGAATTGTCCAACAAGGTCAGCAAAGACAGGATATACATACAGCTACAACACAGTTTTATTTAAAAAATGTTAATGATGAACACTGATCTAATCATACTCTACTTCAGTACTTACCACACAATTGTGACTGTATAATTGAGCACTGTTTTATACAAGCACTTTCTAACAGCCCCAGGAGAGATATTTTGTCCTTTTTATGGGTTGGGTTAGATACTTTTAGATAGCCTTAGCATCAGGCCTCCTGTGTTGAAGATACTGCTGCCAATTGCTAGGATGGTAAATGGGGGTACAACAGCCATCCAGGACTTCATTCTGGAAGAGCATGCCAACCTAGCTTGTACTATAGGAACCTGACTTGATGACGCCAGGAGGAGAAGGGGTGCCACCCCACTGCTCAACAGTCTCTCTTCCTGAGCTAACCAAACTGATGCTGAGAGTGACATTAGAGCACATTTGACTTGTGACTTCAACATCTGTGCTGAGACAGCCTTAGCAGGAATGGTTTGGGACTTTTTATAATGACCAGGGTTCTGTCCCAAATCATATCTTGCCCCATCAGTGCCTGAGAGCACACCTCAGACCTCACTGTTTGTGCAGGGGAAGATATGGGTGACCTGGGTGTGGTGGAATTTTCTCCCATTCTGCTGTCATTTACAGATCACAACCTGGAAACTTTTAGGATTTACTTGAACTCAAGAGTTTTTGAGGGGTAGGTGGGGAGCTATTAGGATGGACCAGAGACCGGAAGTGCATTTGCAGAGCGAAAACTGTGGCCAGCTATGCCCAATCCTTGAGATGTCTGATCTGGCCACTGTAACACATGCCCTAGTAGTTACCACCCTTTTCAATTACTGCTAGCCTCTATATGAGGGGCTGCCTTTGGAAAGTGTTTGGAAACTCCAGCGGGTCAAAAATGCTGCAGCCAGATTGTTAATTGGGAATGGTTACAGAGAACCCATAACTCTCTTATTACAATAGCTTCACTGGCTATAAGCCACTTTGGGTCCTCTTGGGGGAGACAAGGAGAGTATAAATAAAAGTGAACAAATTTATTTGCTTTTCTTAGAAGGAACTTTAATTTTCTGTCTTGGATTTATTTATTTAAAGACAAATTCTACCTATAATGGCTTATGCCTTATAGCTTCTCCCTCAATCTCCCCCCCCCCATTAATACTACTTTTTGTTGATCTGTGACCATAAGACTGTTCTTTTTCTAAAACTGGACATCACCATGGCTATAATGAGTTTGGATGCAGCAATTCTAAACCATCTTGTTGCCTCACATTCAAGCCTGCATCTCGAATTCTTCAACCAATACATTCTTTCCCCATTTATTTTATTTTAAATGGTAAATTGTATCAATCTGTAAATTTTGTTTCTCCTTACATGATCAAAGTATTCTAACTTCCTGTGTGTTATTTGTTTGATGATGTCTTGGTCTTCATTGATTTATGTTAGTACTTCATTGTTGATTACTCCTATGAGCCAATAAATTTTTTAGCATCCTACCATAAATCCAGGTTTCAAACTGCTCTATCTTTTTATAGCAGCCTGCATTAAAGTTCTTAATTCTATACTGTATAGCAAAACAGAGGATACACAGCATGGTGCATTGCACATTCTCAAACCAATTTTTAGGTTTAGTTGCATAGTACATTATTACAGAAGTTGCTCCAGGCCATCTCTCTCCTGACTTTTACTTCATGACTATAATACCAATACATAAGGTCATAAGTAAAGTTCTGAACATGCAGCAACTATCCAAGACTGCTAAATTAAACAGGTCCCAAAATAACTCTGTGTTCAGTTTCTACTCTGTAGTATGAAGTAGTGCTTCTATTCTCTTCTATTCTTATAGCAAGTATGCTGAGCAATTCATGAGAACAGGCCTTTACTGGTAGGCAAAGCTAGTTCTACCTCTTAAAACAGCATTTGAACAGACTATGTAATTCAAATATATGACACTGCAGTCACTACTTACAAAGTCCTCTGTAGCGTGAGAGCTGCTGGTAGATCTGTTTCATGCGCTCAATGTTCAGTCGGCTGGTTTCTGCGTGGTTCACCATGGGTTTGGGATAGTCCACACCAATGACGCACTTTGCTGCCTTCTGTACTGACTCAGGGGCATTCCAGGGCTCATAGATATAACGTGAGGGAAAGCCTTTCAACTTCGGCAGATATCGCCTGCAGAATAAATAGAGACACATGCTTTTGGCACAATAAACGAGGTACGTATGCTGTTAGATGCCTTAGTGCCATACAGCAAGAGGCCTGTGTTATCAGAAACACTTTTAACCTCTTCTTGCAAGAAAAAAAAGGATTCTTGAGTGGCTTAGTGTAATCCTTTTTCACAGGCTTGGAACATGAAACACAGCACAAAAGGAAAAGGGAAAAGGAAGGAAGAGGAAAAAATAAATGCAGACACTGATTACTAATGCTGCATACTAGTTTTCATACTGATCATGTGGACCAGGATTTATTCAAGGAGACAGAGAGCCAAAGGCAACAAGAGAGGGTAGGAGGGAACTATGTAGACATCCCATTTCCTGTTCCCCCACCCACCCCATGCGGCAGTCCTCATGGAACAGGCAAGATTTAGTGACAGAACCGGTCAATATATCTTGCTCACCTGATGTAGTCACCACTGGGATCTGTTCGACGCCCAAAACCAACAGGGCAATAGCAGTGGAAGAATTGTTGGAAGAAAGCACTGCATGAAAGCCACATCCAGCTGCCTGCATTCACACTAAAATCTGCATCCAGCAGCAGCTCATCAAATACCTGTGAGTAAAGAGAAGAGCACAATGAGGAAATGTCTTTCCAGACAGAGCCCAGTCTGAAGAAACTGTTACGTTACAGACTTGTCTTGTTTGTTCCTGATCTTAAATAAGCTGCTCTGGAATTCCTTCCAGTTGAAGAGCTGAAGCAGAAATGCTTAAAGCAATCAACAGTTTAAAATTTTTAGACCTTAGAAAGAGCAACAAATATGCTAAATAAGATAAAAATTACCCCGACAGGAAAATATTTTGTTAAAACAAAAGGTCATGCTTGAACACAGACTACCAGCCCCCACTCTGAAGTGCATATTGATAGGTCCGTCTTCATCATCTTAGAACTGCAGAGATGGATGGGACCCTACGGATCATCAAGTCCAGCCTCTGTCAGAGAGGCACAATGGAGAGTCCAGCCTCTGTCAAAGAGGCACAATGGAGAACTGAACTTTCAGCCTCTGGCTCCACAGCCAGATGCCTAAACCACGTTCGTTCATGTCCAGCCTCTGTCAAAGAGGCACAATGGAGAACTGAACTTTCAGCCTCTGGCTCCGCAGCCAGATGCCTAAACCACAGAGATATCTTATACATCAAGTCCCACCATAAGTAAATACAAGAGTCCACTCTGTGACCACATAATTCTACTGCCTCCCGGAGTTGTGTCAAATTCATGTTGGTTGCTTTGCAGACACTGTCCAGCCATCTCATCCTCAGTTGTCCCCTTCTCCTCTTGCCATCACACTTTCCCAACATCAGGGTCTTTTCCAGGGAGTCTTTTCTTCTCATTAGATGGCCAAAGTACTGGAGCCTCAGCTTCAGGATCTGTCTCTTATACATTAAGTTCCACCATAAGTAAATACAAGATTCCACTCTGTGACCTCATAAAGAGGGGAAAAATAAACACAAGAAAACTACTTTCTTGCAATTACAAATCAGTTCAATTGGGCCATAACAGACTGTAACTGTGGACAGGACTGCACTACAAATCTGCTGCTTGTAGATGCTGTAACTATATATTTTTTCTTTTATTTTAGCTCTTTCATACCATTTGTGGGACACTATATATAGAGAGAATGAAACTGCTAGTGGGACCTGTGGCCTTTATCTAGGGTGGGTGTTATATTACAAGAAGAATGTATCAATATATCAGCCTGCAGAGTGGGGTTATTTCTTACTTCTAGAGGTACATGTTCAACTATCACCTTTTGCTTTAAAGCAAAGGTACCATATTTTTCTGTGTATAAGTCGTCCGCATATATAAGACGCCCCCCCCCTTTTCTAACCCAAAATTAAGAAATCTAAGTGGGGCTTAGCAAGTGTAGGGGGAAAGGGATCAAAGCACTGCAGGATCGCTTTGATCCCTGCTTTCTCCCTTTGTGCTAAGCCTCGCGGGGCTTAGCAAAAGGAGGGGGAAAGGGATCAAAGCAATCCCGCAATTGCACAATCATTTTGATTCCTTTCCCCCTTATACAGCCACAGGATTGCTTTGATTCTTTCCCCTCTCCTTTTGTTAAGCCCCATGGGACTTAACAGCGCTTTGATCCCTGCTTTCCTTTTGCAAGTGGAGGGGACAGCAAGGCTAAGGATTAGCAAGTGGAGGGGACAGCAATGATCAAAGCAGGAACAATTTGATCCCTGCCTTCCCCTCCACTTGTTTTTGTACTCTCCTCAGCTTACTTCCATGTATAAGACAACCCTCAATTTTTATTCTAAAAGTTTTAGACGAAAGTATAGTCTTATACACGGAAAAATACAGTATTTTTCTTTGGAGAATTTCCATGGTTTCAAAAATGTAGGACACAAAGATGTTGATGGTGGGAATAGAAAGTCTGTGTTTATCAACCAACTTAGAACAAAATAAAAAATATATAGAAATCACTTATAAATAAACAAACCAAAGAGTAACAACAATACAAGATCTTAAAGTCATCAATTTCTCCAAACAATTAGATCTCTAATTAGCCTCTTTTAGAGACCGATCCTACAAGGTGTTATTCACAGATCTGCCCACCATGAGCAGTTGTGCTGCTCAAAATCTTCCCATCAGGAAACACAATTCAGGATCAGACATGCTATTCCCCAAAGACAGTCCTAGTGAGGGTATGTACTAAAAACATTTGACCCATTAACTATATTCTAAAATGTCCACAGGGGTAAAAGGCACAGACACACAAAGATACCCACCCTGATAGATACTAGGAATGCTGTAGACTTAATATATATGGACTTCAGGAAAGCCTTTGACAAAGTCAACTGTGTATATCAGGGGTCTCTAAAGTATGGCCCGCAGACCACATCCGGCCCGTCTGGTCTTTTTATCTTGCCCATCCATGCAGGCGAGCGAGTGGGCAGGCGGGAGTGTGTGCGTGTACACACACATTACTTTGGCCATTGAAAATAAAAAAAATATTATGTGGCCCTCCATGTTAAAACTTTGGATGATGTATATCATCTTGAGCTCACTGAAGGAAAGGAAGGATACCGATCTAACAAACAAATAGCAACAGCAGATTTAATAAAACAGTTGCCAAAAAATTAAGAAAGGACAGTCAGAGCAGTAGTTCCCAACCCTGGGCAATCCAGGTGTTCTTGGACTGAAACTCCCAGAAACCCCAGCCAGTACAATTGGTAGGGAAGGCTTCTGGGAATTGCAGTCCAAGAATACCTGGGTAACTCAAGGTTAGAGAAAAAACATGGAAACCTCTCACAAACCATGATTATACAATGCTTAGAGCTGTTATGTAACATACAAAGTTGTGGAATAATGTATACTCAGTCAAGAATACTACTTTCCTTCTTTAGTATGAAGCTGTCCAGTGTCATATTCTCAAAACGCCAAGAAATATTACAACCACAACCAAAACAAACTTTGTTTATAGATTTCAAGGAATCCATTATACTTTCACCTGAGTTTCTAACAACAGGACCAGTTTTCACTATGCAAATATTGCAATGGTATTTTAATGACCTCTTAACTTGGCCCAAGAATGGAATGTGCTCACTAGAGACCAACTTTTTCGTTCCAGATTTTCCTTAAAAAGAAAACTTAGCCCAGACAAATTCTCTACAATCATACTATATATTCTTCCATACCAGAAAAAATATTGCAGGGTTATGCTGCTTATAGGACTGTTCCACAACTCGGATGCTTTCTGCCACTTTCTGTCCCAAACTGTTGTGACTCACCCTCACTCCAGACTCCCAACTGATCCACAGGTCACCTCTGGTCAGAAAGCATGCTACGGCATGCCGGGCCAGGTGATGAATCCAACCCTCTTGCCTCAACTGTGTCATGATAGCATCAATCCAAGGGAAGCCTGTCTTGCCTTCAGCCCATTTTGCTAAGGCTTCAGGATTCCTGTCCCATGGGATCTGAATGCAGATTGGGTTTCCTTCCATGCGATCAAATTTGGGATTGTTTGTGGCAGCTGTATAAAAAAATTCTCTCCAGAGTAACTGGCCATAGAGTGACAGCGGTGGAGTGCTGTTCCGTTTCACCTACGGAAAGAGGGAAGAAAAAAGTACATACAAATAAGACCACATTTTGGCATTATCAGCAGATGTACTCTGCAACCTGAGTTAAGCCTAAATTGAAAGTAATCTTTTAAGGCAGATTTTAAGACAACCTGTTAACATCTTCAGGAGTCATTTACTCAGAGTACCAAGCAACAAACATTATTCAGAACAATAGAGTTGTTCTCAAGTGGCCCTTTGCCAGAAATAATTACCTCGAGTCGGAATATTTCCTTTAAGTCTTCACTGTACACGAAGGCTATAGAAAGCCATGCAACTCAAGAGCAAAAAAGTAAAGTCAGTTTAAAATACTTTGTATATATGGATTTGTTAAAGTATCTGTACCCCACCCTCTATCATTGGATATTGGAAAGAGGTGCAATCAATGAAACCATTTTAAAACAGTTTCAGACAGTGCAAAGAAAACAAAATTTGCAAATGAGCAGACTGAATACCAACACACAACCTCATTAGCCTCCAAATGCTTGAGTGAAAAGTCAGGGTTTAACTTGGCATGTAAATAAAGTTGATACCAGCTAGGCCTGCAAGCGGAGGATAGTCTGCAAACAGGGCACTACACCTGAAAGGCCCTTGCTCACATCTCCATTACATACCAGTAGCTGGGTTCTCATTTCTGTTCCTTTGCTCACTCGAGTGATCTTTTGTATTAAGGATTATTATGGCGCTCCGTTATCCCAGCAAGTAGGCCAGAAAAATGTACGGAAATGCTCTCTTGTTCCTTTTAGTGCCCAGTTCTGTGACTGGTCCTTGTAAATATTCAAAAAAAGAACAAAGACAAAAACAAAGAATGCTTCCCTTGTCCCTTAGGATTCATGACAGAATGGCACAAAACCTGAAAAATTCATTGATAGACACCTGATTTTTCTCTTGCTCCTTGAAAATTATAGGCAAGCTTAAGTGCAAAGAAAGGCATAGTCTCCTATAGCAGATAGAAGTGGCTATCTTTCATTCACTGAAATGGTCTTTGAAACTAAGAAGAGAGGCACAAAATTTCCCCTAAATTTTCCCTCAGTTTCTGGGAAAGGGACTCTAAATTATAAAATATCCTCTGGACTACAAGAAAGAGGAAGCCAGTGGAGTCAGAGGATGATCTGATCCACCTAACGTGGAAAATGCTTGACAGCACTCATGTCTGCTTCTCTGTAATCCTTTGTGCATTAACCATGGTAAATTCATACTGGATTTAGACTTCAGAATTCTGGCTTGTCTCCTACTCTTTGCTGGTGCACACGGCCTGATCACTCCCATGACAGAGAGGAGCATGTGAAAAAAATACAGAAGTCCATCTGTAAATCTGTTTGGCACAATATTCAAATCCCACATTCTCTCCTACCAGATAAAACAAGCATTAATAGCCAATAAACAAACAAACAAACAAAACACTATAGCTTATATCTGCTGAGAAAAAACCTCCTAGAATGCTGGGTTTTGAAGTCACAACAAAATGTAGATGTAAGGTTTGTGATTTGTTTAGCCATCAAACAAACAAACAAACAAACAAACCACTATAGATTATATCTGCTGAGAAGAAACCTCCTAGAATGCTGGGTTTTTAAGTCAGAACAAAATGTAGATGGAAGGTTTGTGATTTGTTTAGCCACTCCTGCTTGCAGGAGGAGAGATGACACACTGTGTACCAGCATACTGCTTTGTTTCCATTATGCCAGACTTTTAAAGAAATCAAGACTACTGTCCCACCTAATGTCTATCTGTTACGTTTGTGTTTATCAACCACCTCTGCTCCATTTAAGGATCCAATGTGGTTTTGACCTCTAAAGTCTTTTACACTGTAGGTAGGAACAAAGTATCTGAAGGGATAATATGTCTCCATATGCAGTTAACTATACACTGACATCTTCAACAGAGAGCCTTGCGCAACTACACCGATTGTTTGGGTTGAGGAAGAGGGGCAATATGGATGAGGGCCTTTTCAGTGCTGCAATACTCTGTCCAAAGAGATTTGCTAGCCGTTACTTTATTAACTTTTTAGCACCAAGTAAAGCCCTTTTAGTTTTGTAGAGTTTTCCAGATACAGTTTTAATCCCCTTGACTGTTTTATACTGCTATTAAGGTTTTTGTAGGTTTCCGATTTTCACTGGGAATATGACAGAAGGCATAAAATGCATTCAATAAATAAACAGGCTCAGGAAAATTCCAATACTCAAAATTATTACAACACAAGATGTAATCTACAATGCTACAAATTATGGCAATGATATAATGTACTCGAGATGTGAAAGGAAACGGTACCATAGATAGAAACTTTTTGCTGATTCTCACCTTTTTATATAGTTCCCAGAGCCGATAGTAGAATAAGCGGCAGGACAAGCAGCCAAACCGAAGGTAGGGACTGAGCCCTGTGGGACTGGCCAGCAGTGAATTGGCATTCATCCGTGGCCGTTCATAATTCGCAACCCATGCCTTGAAGATACGGGCAAGGGGAGAGATGTCATAAAAAGAAAAACAAAGTTGTATGAGTTTTTATAAACAAATGTTGCTTGCTGCAATTACCAATAACTACCAAGGGTATTGTCAAGTAAGAACAAAGGGAGAAAAATCATCCAAAGGTCATATCATACTTAGTAATGCCATGTATGCCACAGACAGTGCTTCTGTATCTTTGAAACATAGGTAAAGGTAAAGGTTCCCCTTGACATTCTGTCCAATCGTGTCTGACTCTAGGAGATGGTGCTCATCTCCGTTTCCAACCCACAGAGCTAGCGTTTGTCCGAAGACAATCTTCCCTGGTCATGTGGCCAGCGCAACTGAACACTGTTTTCTTCCCACCGTGGTGGTACCAATTTATCTACTTGCATTTTGCATGTTTTCGAACCGCTAGGTTGGTGGGAGCTGGGACAAGCGATGGGGGCTCACTCTGTCACATGGATTCGATCTTACGACTGCAGGTCTTCTGACCTTGCAGCACAGAGGCTTCTTAATCATTTGCCAGTAAGTGTCGATAAGGGGTATCTCTCTTCCATCTCGCACAACATAAGTTTAAATATGCCAAAATGGTGATGCAAATTTAGTTCCTTGTCCTTCACATTGTCAATAATGGACATATATGAAAGGTTATATTTTTAAACATTATAGACATTCACACAACATTGATTTCCCCCCTCTTCAGTAACCAGGAACCTACGGGTGTTCATATAACCTGTGTAATCTTCTGCAGCTAATTGATGAGGTGTTGAGGGGTAAGTTTTGGTCAGATGCATGGTACAATGTTCAACTCTCCAACTGAGATACATCCATGCACCTCATCAATTAGCTGCAGCAAGTTACACAAACCCTGTGCAAAAACGAATAAGACTCCAGCCAGTATGTTTTAATATTAATTCTGTTGCTTTATAATGAAGATTGGTTGCTTACCCTTATTATTCTCCATTGGAACTGCTTAAACATGATTCTGTTTTGTTGTGGGTTTTTTTTCAGTATACATGGCAAGCATTTAAATTCTGGTAAAGACAACAATACTGTCAAATGAAATTTGTCTGCATAGACAAGAGCAGTTTTCCCCAAGGTTGAAATGTTTTGGATTAATATATATGCCCATAAAACCTAGTAAGCACAGCCATTGGTCACTCCAAAACTTCTGGAGGACACCAGGTTGGCAAAATCTGTACAAAAGAAATTAGGCTGGAATCCTGTTGGTGTAGCCTTATATATATAGCCTTATATTTTTAACTTAAAGTTTTCTATGGATCCCTTTCAAATGCATGAAATAAGTAAATAAATAAATAAAAATTAGGGGGCTTCAAGACAGTTTGGCAAAGCCTTTAATGTCCAAAACTCACTGTCACAAATTTGACATGGGAAATTAAAAAGAGTCAAGGAACTATAAAGACAAAAATCTGGCTTGAATAATGTCTCAGCAACAGAAGGATTTTTGATTTTTTTTCATCAATATACCTAACAAATTCAGAGCAGCTCAGCAGATAGTACAATATAAAGAAAAATAACACCATGAAGAGTGCTGTTCCTCAGGAGGCCATTTCGCGGTAAGGATTGTATAAAATTACCTTTCTTTCCAAATGTTTATCTAGACGAGTCAAGGCTTCAGTCTCCCCTCCTTGCCAAACAGCTGGAGCAAGACCCTCAGTGGGGAAGCCTAAGAGAATGAGAATAAGGATTAATCTAGGATCCAGGCAAGAAGTCCATCCTCCACAGTTCTAAGTGACATGTTTTGTAATTGTGCTCTAGCCTAGACTATTCAATGTGAAATTACCACTTATAACCAGAAGAGGGCATTTTTGAATAGAGGCCTGCATAAGACACACATCTATGTTGCATATGCCAGAAAGGACAGAATTAGGTTTTATTTTCCTCTACAAAACCATTAAATGATGAGCCTTAGAAATGTGTTCACAATGTAAAAGGATGCTGGAAAAACAAAACAACACCATATAGCGTAGAGTACAAGCATGCCCATGTAAGAGATGGAAGGGGAGTGGTTCACAATAGCTCAATTCAAAATTTAAATAACCTGCATAGAAACAAACTTTTCAACTCTAGCATGTGACAGTTCAGCCATCTTGTCTCTGCCTGCCAGAAAAGAAATGACTGGAATAATGGGTTACAATGTCAGAAGTATTAGCAGTCTTTAGAGGACTAAGGCAAATTCCTCATCTGAGTCACAGACAGAAAGCATGCAGCAAGCTTTAAAATGCTTGTGCAACAAGCTTTAAAATGCTTGTATGCCCGAAATTAAAAGACGCCTGCTTCTTGGGAACCTCGATAGCATCTTAAAAGGCAGAGACATCACCTTGCCAACAAAACTCAGAATACTCAAACCTATGGTTTTCGCTGTAGTGATGTACAGAAGTGAGAGCTGGACCATAAAGAAAGCTGACCGCCGAAGAATTGATGCTTTTGAATTGGGGTGCTGGAGGAGGCTCTTGAGAGTCCCCTGGACTGCAAGGTGCACAAACCTATCCATTCTAAAGGAAATCAACCCTGAGTGCTCACTGGAAGGACAGATCCTGAAGCTGACGCTCCAATACTTTGGCCATCTCATGAGAAGAGAAGACTCCCTGGAAAAGCCCCTGATGTTGGGAAAGTGTGAAGGCAGGAGGAGAAGGGGATGACAGAGGATGAGATGGTTGGACAGTGTCATCGAAGCAACCAACATGAATTTAACCCAACTCCAGCAATGGAAGACAGGAATGCCTGGTGTGCTCTGGTCCATGGGGTCACGAAGAGTCGGACATGACTAAACGACTAAACAACAACAACAATAGCTATATATTCATAAAATTGCTTAAGACCCCTTAAAGGCTAAGCTAACCCATTACCGTATCTCATGGAATCAAACTCTAGATGTTTATCTTGTACCAGATAAAGACTTCATGTTATTTGTCCTTAATCTTCCACCATTTGACTTCACTGAATGACTTTACTTTCTTCTAGTATGGGAAGAAAAACATTTCCCTATCCACTGTTGTACAGAGTTGTATATATTTCTCATATTCTCTTGCTACTAGCTTTCTTTTTCTAAACTAAACTAAATTGAGAGCCAAAAGATCAGAGATAAGACTTTGTTATATTACATTGTAGGCTGTTTATAGAAACAGTGGGTAACCCCTAGCAGAAAAATAGTCACAGAAATACTGAAATTACACAATAGTGTTCATGTGAAAATTATGCCACATTATCACACTATGTAGCATATAGTCTTAAAATTACTACCTATAATCTAAGTCGTAAACTTGCATGGTCTGAAATATGCAGTTACCGTAAGTTTAAAACACAACTACTAAGTAGGACTCAGCAGGACAATCACCTGTCAGTTTATAGCTGAGTTTTTCTTGAAGAACAGACTTGTTCCTCTGATAATTGTGGAGAAACCAATACTGTTAATGTTACATTTAGGATTTTTCCTATCTTCCAATATTTGTGTTTCTGGCTTACAACTCCCAGAATTATAGGGAGCTGGGAAATTCTGGGAAATGCAGTCCAAAAACACATACATACCTATCTCTTGTCCAACTCTATGTCTAGACCCAATCCAAAGTGCATTTCTGACCCTGAAATACCTACAAGGCTTAGGAAGTGAGTATCTATGTCTGTTTGTAGGCCAATATCTTCAGCAACGACCCTTCCTTTGATATCCTTGCATGGAGTACATGGATGGCTACTGTGGCAAAAAGACATCTCAATGGTAACAACCCAAATAAAGAATGACCTCCCATCAACCTAGTTTGATGAACTTTTCTTTAACTTCCTTTGAGTTGCTGCTGGGAATTTTAATGCTGGTCTTTATAGACTGCTCTCTGGGCCTTATTCCATTTGTCCGGTTATATGTTACGTTGACATACAGTAAAGAGCTCTGAAAATTAAAGAGAGCTCAAATAAATAGATAAGCAAATCTTGATTTGCTAAATAATGTAAAATAATTCCTGGACATTCAGTTTTTAAATGTGTAACTTGCTACTGTACTTCAAATGTTATCCTGTAATTATTCGTATCTTCACTGTATAAAATAACTTAAATAAAATGGCTGCCAGATAAAATAGCAACAACTAATCAGCTCTTTTTTCCCAAGTCCTCAAGATGCATTGATAATCTCCAGTCTGTGTTTCAGCTATAGCCAGATTAGGCCATGCAAGATGATGAGTACACTAGCTCATCTTGGAAGTGTTCCAAGCTTACAGAATGTCAGCTTAGCTGCCCTGCAGTTCTGCAACATACCAAGCTCCTCCAGGGATGGGACTCCGTATGTGTCATCATGATTTTCTTGGATCTCTGTCTTGCATTTCTCCATTTGCTGATGTGTAATGGTGGGGACTGGCTTCTTGGGCAGATCCATGCGACTAATGATGGCCTGGAAACGCTTGTAGGTGAGAGGAGGCTTGTGTCCATTCAGCTCGATTATCCTGCAGAACACAACACAAAGAGGCAGTTGAAAAACAGGCTTGCTCCCATGCAATTAGTAGAGAAACCAGCATTGTTACTAGTACTGTACATTTAAGAACTGCTCTTTCTTTCAGTACTTAATAGGAGGAAGAGAATACAAAATACACAAAGCAATGCAAATCCACACTCTTTTATTCATTATCTCAACCACTTTAAAAGACCAATTATGTCCTCCTCACAACATCTGTGGCCCAGAAGTCTCACCTTGCCTTCTCTCTCATTATCTACTGCAACATCCTTCAAAGAGAAAACTTATTCTTCATTACAGGGGCAATATCCTATAAAAAGTGCCAAGAAGCCTATTCCTATTCCATGTGCCTTTAGGGAAGTGAATTCATTGTTCCTCATAAGCCTCCTGATATAAGGAGTCTACCATTTTTTTAACCACAATTCTTTCCCTTCCTGAGATTAAAAAAAAACCTTCTGCAGGGGCAAAAAATAAAAATAATTACTCACTTTGTTTAGCACTTAAAGACCTAGCTTCTTTCAGTTAGCCACAAGAATTATAAGAATAGTTCCACTATTTATGTAGAAAGAAGTGGTAGGTATTCTGAACTCCACCATTTCATGTGACAGATGGGTGGTACTTATATTGCTGAATCTCCCCACCACCACCACGATCATGCAAGAAACTATGAGTGAAGGGTATGCTAAACCTTCCCCTCCCCCATTTTCTACATGCAGGGGGGCTTTTTATATGAGGAAAAATGCAGAAATGTAATAACAACCTAGTTTGAAGTGGCAACATTAAAAATTCTGCCAGTTTCCTCTTTGAAGTTTGTACAATGGCCATAAACTGGGAAGGAAAAACTAAGAATAGGGAACAGGACAAGAATTAAACACAGAGCCTCAAACTGTTGCGAGATGTGCAGTTTTTATTCAGTCTAAAGAGTTTCTCTCATTCTGAGAGTTTGAAGTCTCTACTAGAACATTTTTAGTTCCTTTTAAGGCTGGGAAGTATTAATTCATTGAACTAGAAGCCCAGGAGCAAAACCCCTGGGCTTCTAGTGGGGCAGGGCTGGTGTAGTTGAAATGCCCAAGCAAGTTGGAAAGCTACAACAATAAAATATGATTTCTTAGGAGGTCTAGGAATCAAGCTGGGTTGCATTCTCAGTAACAAACATGCCACTGATATGATTTAATTGTGAAACTTTAGCTACCCTTGGAGATGGCATATTACAGATTATAGTACGTTCCATTTTCCACCAAAACAGAATAGTTTCTGAAAATTAAGCAATACACAAAGAATCCACCTTAAGACAGGGCTGTCTCAGATCCAGACATCAGCCACAGTGTTTCCAGTTATGACTAAACAAAGAAGGCATCTGGTTTCTGTTATAGCTATGAAAGATTTCAGGAAGTTAACTAAAAAGATCCGGAAACAACAGATCTTTTACCTGGTGAAACAGAATCACCAGAATATAATCCACTCCCCGCAAAAACTCTTGATGCCTTTCACAAAGGCAGAAAGGAGAGAGTTAAAAAGAAGGGGCAAGAAGCAAGCCCCCCTAGATTATATAAAACGGAAGCAATGAAATCAGCTTCTACACTGGTAGCTATAGCAGCTGGCAGCCACGTCCTCTCAGTCAACAACTTATGCAAAAGGGCTGGGCTCTCACTCCAGCGTTTCAGCAACAGCCGCGTGCCTGCCCTTCCCCTGCAGGCAGCACGTGTAACAGGGAGGAGCTCCACGCTACCCAGGCTTCTACACAGCTAAGCTCACGTGTGCAGCTCCTGTGATCCAGTTTCCTTGCAAGGCACAGGCAGCCACCGAACAGATGGTGGCTCCCGGTTTCACAGCAGTGAAGGCTTTCACTAAGGCTTTTCTTCTGCCTCCTGAATTTAAGCAACCAGGCAGACCTTCAAATATGGGGGAAAAGGTGCACAGACTCTTCAAAAGCAGGGCTCAACTCTCTTGCAGGAGGAAGTGTGTAGAGTAGGAAAACAAGAGTGAAGAGTCAGCACGATGATATGAAAAGGTCTGTGTCAGAGAATCAAGGTCACATACTGAACGCCCGGCTGTTCCAGTCTTACACATTCAGAGTTCAATCTCCTCCTCAGCCAGATTCAGCAGGAGACTTTAATTAAGCAAGTCTCTTTCAGTGGTAAAACATGGAGCGTCTAACTGTTGTGAGAGGCACAATGTTTATTTTTGAATGCCACCACCCCTTTACAGAAGACAGAAACAGTCCATATCTTACAGGTTTTGCCAATATGAATGAGGAGAAAATAACAAAACAATTGTAGATGTGTAATTGTGTTTCCAAAACAAAACCTCCACTTTCAAGCAATTAAAAAAAAACACTTTACAGTTGAGGGGAAAGAATACACTCGTTATAGCTTTATATAATTTTCTGTCCAACCAACAGGAGTTCTATATTTAAAGAGTGGCAAGAAAATGTTTTTGTTTACAATTCTCTTTAGATGCATTCTAATCAGCATCTGAGGAAATGATGAAATAAAATCACACATCTTTAATTACAGGAAGTCTCAATTTTATCAGAGTCATGATTAGTACTGGGAAAAGCAACAACTCTCAATATACCAGGTTGTAGAATTTACACAAGACACCTTATAGACAACACAAAATTCATACAGTTTTTAAACTTCAAATGGGAAAACTGCAATAGAAAAGAGAGTCTTCTTAGCAATGGTAAACTAAGAGGTAATCAACAGACCTCTAAACTGTAAACATGGTGGGGATGCAGGTAAGTGAAAAGCTGTGTTAAGTGAACTTTCTCAAGCCTTAAAGAAGCTGCGTTTTGTACTTTACCACCACCCAATGTGCCTTATGTGGCAATGGACAGGAACCCTTCAGTGTGAAAGCCTAGCTGTGTTATTTCTTGTCTTAGAATACACAGTTGATAACCTGTTTCTCAGTTTCCAGGGGATGTGAGAAAGCTGTTTTTGTGATGTGAGATGATGGGTACTATTAAGGCAAGCCTCTGGGTTCTTTGACCTGTTTGTGATAATTTCATGATTATCTGTTTGATTTCTTCATAATTTTTAAACTGTTCGATTAGAATCACATTGTCCTTATTCCTATGGTTACTTACAAGCGACCATGAGAGCTTTATTGGAGATGGGTCCTATTTGCTTAGTTTTGACTCTAAAAAATACAGCACCTTGCATATTCCTCTTGTTTTCATTTAAAATTGCTTCTATCACCATGATAACACATTTTTACAGTAAAACTGAACACAATTCTGATGGGTAAATATTAAAAAAAATTGTAAACTCTAACAGTATAAGCAGTTGGGAAGTATCTAAACATTTTAAATAAATCTCTGTGTGCAGTACATCTAGAGAACTATGCAATCATGATCAGAACGTCTAAAACGAACCTCTATATCGGAAATACAGTAGTGTGTTAGTATGAGAATCCAGACTCACTTTGAACATGCACACTGAACATCTGTATATAAAATACTGAAAAATTGTAGAAGACAAAAAAAAGCAGAGTGGTTTGTTGAAACCACTTTCCTTGTCTTTTGCTCATACACCTCCGTGGTGTCCCAAATACATAGTACATCTTTTTTCTGTGTCAACATCCAAATTAGATTCCCATTTTCTTTCACAATGTGGCCTGCCTTAAGTAGATTGTATACCTACAGTAACAGTGGCCTTATTGTGCAGTACCTGCAATGATACTGACTATACACTGAGATCAGAATTCATATATATTTTTATCAATACTTTTATTTCTATCCTCCCTTCCAAACAGAACTTGGGAGTTTAGCATGAACAATGATAACCACTGTTCTTATACAACCACAGCAGAAAAACTAAAGTCTTTGCTATTGACAGGACCTTCCGTAATCCTCTCCTGCTCTAACCATAAGTTTTATTTTCCTGCATCAACCATTTTATTTTCTCCTCAGATAGCATAATATTTTACTTATTTACACAGGCTTGTATCTTACCTGTCCAGATCATAAAGAGTATGCGAATTCTCTGTTATCACCTCTACTCCAGCTTCTTTAGCCAATTTAACAATAGCTGCATCTCTCTCTTTACCAAATGGTTCCGAGTCGTATTCAAAGGTGAGACGGGTAACTCCCCATTCCTGTAAAAAAGCCGACAAAATTATCACTATATTACAAACTTGAGGTTCCATTCTCTGAGCCATTTGTCACCAAACTCGAGTGGAAGCCTAATGAATGATGACAAAAACCCAGCAGCAGAATCAGACAACAGATCTTGTTAGCATTAATGCATATTTTAAAATCTACCATTGCCAGGAGTTGCTGCCCTCTGCCTGAAAGATACACTGCACTTCAAGAATAATGGAGAGATTTTTCTTAGCCCTTAACTTTAGGTCACTTCACTTATTATAACAGAAGCAGGTACACCTGACATAGCACACACTCACTTCCGCCTTGTAATGTTAAGCTGACTAAATGGCTAACCCACCCCCATCGATATACAATATATCAAGCAAACACTGGGCAAAATCCTGTTGGCATAAATTTACTCAGGCATAACCTGAATCAGGTGCCAGCAATATTTAATTTTAGAAATCCAATTTTAATTTCAAAAATCCCCACTGGATCAGCACACCCAATCCAAAATTTTACTACTAAATGGTTCCCCTTCCCCACATACCACAAAGCTCCCCAAAACTTCCCTGGAATAAAAGGGAGCCCTAAGGAGCTTCGGAACCTGAAGGGGAGAGTTGAGGAAGCTTTCTATAAATTTAAATTAACTATACTAACCAGCACCCAATCTGGGTTACACCAGCATAAATGTACACAACATGATTTTGCCATCTATAAAATGTTGCTACCGGCACTGGCTCCCAACACACCTTTGCTTGGGATAATTCCCACCTCACAGAGGTTGGAATTATATACTGAACAGAATTCCAACATAATGTGCAGTAAAGGTTTTAGCAAACTGTGGCTGTATGAATTACCAGTCAACTTAAGTAGCCAATGCTTAATTTGAAGGGGAAACTGGGCCGCTAAAACAATAAAGTAGTATTTTTTACACACTTGAGGGCCACCCTGAGTATGCTGAATTTTGCAAATTGAAATGCCACCTGCCTAAACCTACAGAATACTGGGAGAAGAAATAAGAAAACATGAGAGTAATAATATTGTTCTCTAAAGAAGGAACTTTTGATACTGAAGGCTAAATATGGATTCTCTTATGCTGTTTTTTATTGTATGGGATGGCAATGAATTAGAATCGGATACACACTACTGCCTAGTGACAATTACATTAAAACACAGGGTTTCTTTTTCTTTTCTGTGGGAAGTGCTCACTACATCCAAAAGCAGGAGGGAGGGAGGAATCTAGCATCAAAATTAGACATCAGCCAGATGTAAATCTTTGTAGTGAAAAAAGTACTGTATAGCTATGGCTCAGGGAGGTGGAATGTTGGGATATTAAACAGCTCTTCCTTTCTCATGGATGGACCGCCTGCAGTACTGTCAGTTCTGAAAAGGCAAATCTCAGAAATCTCAAAAAAAAAAAAAATTGTACTTCTACTACTAGAAGCCTGCAAGGGCAGCAGGTCTTATTAGGGGGGCTGAGGAAGGAATCTCCCAACACCCTCACAAACATCTAAATAGAAACTTAGAAATGGCTTTCTATTTGTTTGTTGTCGGGATTTTTAAATTGCTTTGGTCATTTCTGGGCTGGCTGCAGCCCTCAGTGGGGTTTGGGGGTAGTAACCCAATCCCAAAGACCACTGAGATAATCTACTCCTACTCTATGCAGTTGAAGTTTTATCCCATTGTTATATAGCACAATACAGAAACAATACAGCACCTGCATTTAGACTTTGCAACTAGGCCAAAAACTGAGCCCTTTAGTAATACATAGTAAGAAGGAAAGGAAAAAAAATGTTGTCTGTGAGTCCAAAACAACAATGTAAATCTTGTGATCCAGGCTAACTGAACTCTGGAGAAAGGGATAGAGACACACTTCTGCTGTAGATCTAATTTGTACATTCATATTAATTATCATACATTAAATCTCAACCTGTAAATCACATTTTTACAGATAAACTACTAAATGACAGTTAATGGATTATTTGTGGTTTGCTTGCTCATACGATGGGAGAACTTAATTGCTATCTTGTTTTATTAATTCAAAATGCAGTCATCCAGAATGTTTAGAAATGGAGACGAATTCATTTTCTCTCTAGAAAGAATATTCTCATTATACCTATTTTTTGCACATAATAAGATATGTTATTATATAAATCATAAATACATAAAACGTTACAATGGTTAACACTCTAGAGAACCACCAAAGAACCAAGCACATTCACAGCTTTTCCTAGAGCTTTTTGTGGTTTCTCACTCTTATGGCCTATTTTCTCTGCAAAAGTGTCTACACAAGATGTAACTGGTTGACATGATGAACCTCTATAATCATTCTCAACACATGACACACTAAGTGGATTGTTAAGTACTGTCACTATTGCATACTACAACCAGTATCCAGGTACAGCCCAGCTAAATGTTTTTGCAAGAAAATGCATAGCAGCAGAGGAGTTGCCACAGGTTTGAAGCAGAATAATTTAACAGCTTCCAGCAACTACTAAAAGGTCATTTCACTTATGATCAACCAGTGTTTGGCAAAAGGCAGCAATATAAGAGTAAACAATAAGAACAACAACAACAACAACAACAACAACAACAACAACAACAACAACAACAAAAGTAACTAGTTGCTTGGCAAGGAATCAAAGAACAAATAATTGCTGAAGAAAAATATATTTTAAGGCTGTTCCACTCAGTCATTTAGAAATGAGGTGTCAACAAGTGCTTTCTCTGACAACTGGTGTGGGGGGGGGGAAGCAACATTTTTTCTTTGAAATGCATACACGAAAGAGCATTGCCTTCCCAATTTATTATTCTATAGCTCTTTTCTTTATTTTCCTTTCCTCAGAAGTTCTTGAAAAAAAATTAATGAGCAGCATAAAACAAAATATTTAGACACCATAAAGTAGTTCAATTATCTTGGAGGATTGAACGACAGCATCAAATTTATCAATTGTTCCAGAGAAATGAGGATTTTTGTCTTCTAATAGTTTAGGAACAAGGTCTTCAGAGAGTGATGTTTCCAGAAAATTAAATAAAGGTTTAATAAAACAATCACACACAAGTTGTGTAAAAAGGGCAAAAGTATTTAGCCTAGTGTTGTTTTTCTTGGGATAAGCTTATCCTGACAATTCTCCTTGCATCTCCCTCGAAGGGACAATGTTCAATCTCACATGTAAAAAGACTTGGCAGTAGCAATTCTACACCTCTAATGTTTATATACATCCTAAAACCAGAAGGGAATACTCACGATCACTATGACGTGGAAACAGAATACTGAATACTTATGGGCTTTTTAAATATACATAAATCTATATATTGATATATAAGCCCTCCAAAATACTAACTCTATTTTTCGTTCCTCTTCAAGTTTATCCTTGAATAAGCCTTAATGTATCAAAAAAACTAGATTAAGCAGCTATAAGATTAAAAGATATGATGGTTGTTGTTTCCTAACTGATCTCTGTAAACAAGCTGGAGTAGCAAGAGAAGACGCAGATTATGTGTCTGTTCCATTACTGGTCCTTCCTCTTTTTCTCTTGTTTCATGGCAAAACTAGAGCTGTTGGCTACAGCAAGTAGGGGAGCAAGAAAAGAAGGAAAAAAACAAAAACAAATCTTGCATCCTCTATTATCAGTCTCATGCATGGGGGGGGGATCCAAAGTGGAAGCTCTAATCAAAAGTTTATGTAATTATGTGTCCTTGTTTTCAGCTCTTTGCCAAATATTTGTTGTTATGCATCATAAAGTTGGGACCAACTTATAGTGACTCTAATAGTCATTTCAAGGTAAGCGAGATATTGTTTTTTAAACTGTCTTATTTTTTTGATTAATCTATGCTTTATGTTACATTTGTTTTATTCATTTGATTTTATTTCATTGTTAGCCAACTAGAGAGCTATCTGGAAAAAAGAGGGTGAGGTACAAATAAAACAAAATGCAGCATGCATGTTTACTTGTTTTTAATCAAAGTCATACAGATCAGCAAGGAAAAAAAATACTCTATACCCCGTTTCCCCGAAAATAAGCCCTAGTATGATTTTTCAGGATGCTTGTAATATAAGCCCTACCTCAAAAATAAGCGCCAATTAAGTGAAACCCCGCCTTCCACCACTGTGCAGCAACTAGAAGAAGGTGATATGACTATAAAATAAAACATCCCCTGAAAATGAGCCCTGGTGTGTTTTTAAGAGGCGAAATTAATATAAGACCCTGTCTTATTTTTGGGGAAACAAGGTAGCAATTTATGTAAGCTTCCCCTTCATACTTCTGCTATTTCCTAAATGATGATGCAAATCCAACTATCACACCATGTAAATATTCAACATACAATGCAATGTGGAAAACAGACAGGTTTAAACTTGGAAGGGGCCTCCCTTGTCAGAGACAGTCACACTGCTCTTTGCTATTCTGTAATACTTGAATCAAGATGTTAAAATCAGCAACAGTGAAAGTAAATGTAAATTTTTAAGTTAAAGGTAAAGGTAAAGGTTCCCCTTGACAATTTTTTTTTGTCCAGTTGTGTTCGACTCTAGGGGGTGGTGCTCATCCCTGTTTCCAAGCCATAGAGCCAGCGTTTTGCCCGAAGACAATCTTCCGTGGTCACATGGCCAGTGCGACTGAGACACGGAACGCTGTTACCTTCCCACCGAGGTGGTCCCTATTTATCTACTTGGATTTGCATGCTTTCTTCTGCGGTTTAGCCCGCAGCGCCACCACGTCCCCTAATTTTTAAGTTATGATCAAATTAATTCATAAACTGCTAAACATACAGTAAGTTGTGATCTTACTTTAAAGAGTCTTGGAAAAACATCTGTTGGTTGGCCTCGTACTACAAACAAGCGGGAGTTGAGTTTTCTTAAACTATTGTCCAAATCTTCCAGGGACTGGAGCAGAAACCTAAGGATTAAAAACACAAAATACAATCTAACTGTGCTTAATACAATGCAATTTAAAGATACAATTTAACTGTGCTAGGCACTGTTAAAGGTCCATTGGTAGAACAGCTAGATTTTGTCAGCATCCATCAGAAACCGGATTCCCCACTGCACCTCCCAGGAAAAGAGTCAGCCTGTATCACCACGGGCAAGCTGCACAGTCCTAAGAATGCCACCAGAGGAAGAGAATACAGTGGTGCCTCGCTAGATGATTGCTTCGTTTAATGACGAATTTGCTTAATGATTAGTTTTCCGGAGCGATCTTGCGCTCCGTTTAACAATGTTTCCTATGGGTGATTTTCGCTCTAAGATGGTGGGGACCTTGCCTCGCAAGACGGTTAATTTTCGGGTCCCTGTGTTTCGCTTTACGATGGTTTTGACAGCTCAGGTTCGCTTCGCTAAACAGGCATTTGAATGGTTGCTGTTTTGTTACACGGTTGTGTTCGCTTGGGAAACGTGTTTTGCTTAACGATGTTCCCTATGGCAATTTTCGCTTTATGATGGCAATCTGTTCCCATTGGAACGTCTCGCAAGACGGTTAATTTTCGGGTCCCTGTGTTTCGCTTTACGATGGTTTTGACAGCTCAGGTTCGCTTCGCTAAACAGGCATTTGAATGGTTGCTGTTTTGTTACACGGTTGTGTTCGCTTGGGAAACGTGTTTTGCTTAACGATGTTCCCTATGGCAATTTTCGCTTTACGATGGCAATCTGTTCCCATTGGAACGCATTATCAGGGTTTCAATGCATTTCAATGGAAAACTGCGTTTCGCTTAACGACGAAATCACTTGACAGCGATTTTTTTGGAACGCATTAGCCTCGTCTTGCGAGGCACCACTGTAGTAAACCATTTCTGAGCACTCCATACCTAGAAAATGCTGGCAAGGGCCTCCATAAAGTCAGAATCAACCAGATAGCACATAATTATGACATGATATAGGAGGGGTGTCAGGGATTGATATAATTACAGAAACATAGCTACCCTTACTATCTTAGGTGAGCAAGTGCTGTTCAAGCACCCACCCACCAGCGGCTCATGCTTCTTTTTGGAGACATGCTAGCAGTTGCCAAGAGTAAAACTGAAAAATAATATTCCTGACAATATATAGCTGTGGACAGTTGACTAAAAAGACACATCAATGTATTATTATTATTTTGTTATATCTTTTCAGTGTACTGTAACTGATCGGTAACAGTTAAAATCCTCTTTGTGCCACTATGCTCATGGAAAGCTGGTTACGTTATCAGAAGGAGTAATTTTTTAGAACTCAGACACTTCCTATTTTTTGTCCTGCAGCTACTTTTTATTTCCCTTCATTATTCAGAAGCTGTGGGTCAAAGGAAGTATTTAATTACTGAAAATTCTTGCAGCCAGTAATGTCAACCTTGTGATAACATCACACATGGCACATCACCCATGACTCCCAAACAAGGAAAGGGGTTATACGGGAGCCATGGGGCAGAACTGGGAAGTTTTCATTTCCAAAAGATCATCTCCTTCTCATTGTGTCAAAAGCCTTCTGCAAGCATAGGTGTGCAGACAGGATTTCAGGGATTGTTCTTCATTTTATTACAGACATATTTTGTAAAAAATTTCATTCTATAGTGTCTTACATGATACTTTTACCAAGAATGTTTACATCAGAGGCAACCATATGCAGTATCAGAAGGATTTACCTTTATGCTGGGGAAAAGAACATTATATGGGCATACATTTAGGAGATTAGTATCTACATACTACAGATAGAATGCCTGGCATACATGTAATATCAGGATGGCTGCCCATCTAGTGACCTATCTGCCTGAGTCCCATAGCACTGTGAATTTGATTTTTTTTTTTAAATGTGTCTACCCTTCCTAGTTTTTGACACAGTATTTACTAGGCATGTTTTTAGGAAGTGGAAACTAGTTAGGAACCAGAATTCTTTTTTTAAAATCTGTTTTATCAAGTCATATCATATTGCAAAGTTAGTTCAGCCTTCAATACAAACCAGTAGATTAAAAGTAAATAATTACACTTAGTTCAGATGCTGTGGAAAACATGTCTCCCACTAATGTGAATAAAACATGGTGATATCTGGGCTTGTTTTCTGGCTTCCCTCATCCTCCTCTTTTGTGCCAAGAAGACATTGAAAGCATTTGCATCTAGCTTTAAAATAAAAGCCATAGTACCCAATGATAACCAAACTTGGGGAACTGTGCTTTTTTTAAATTCTGCTTATACAACCCATGGTCAATATTGCAATCTTGGCTTTTTAAAGGATAGCTTCTCATGTTCAGATATCGTGGTTTACACTAGTCAAACACCCAGGTGCAAAGAAAGGAGAGTTCAAGGCTCATCAGGGCTCACCCAAGCAGCAGTCGTGTGACTGTATGCAGAAATGGGAAAAGCTAGTGTTTTTTTTTAAATTATAGCACCTAGAATCTAAGAATTAAAAGTTCAAAAAGTAACTTTCTGGGTTTTTTTAACATCACATGCAGATCTTATATAGGCAAAAAGTAAAGACAAATAATAGGATCATTAAATTGCTCAGTTAACATCTGCACAACGTAACACTAACGTGTGTCGGCTTTTTAAAATATAAACTGCTAAGGCTTGAATGTAATTAGAGGCTAACAGAGCTGTATAAGAATTATTTTATCCTTCCAACTCTTCTGAAATATTCTGTACTGCCTAGAAAACAGATCTGGAGAGGTTCCCAGTCTTCCACAGTAAATCTTTGAGGTGTATAGGTCAAGGAAAGGGGATCATCCCACTCCATTTCTGCTCACAGGATGTACCAACATATGTTTTGTACTGGATCCTGGGGTAAAATCTGAATTTTGTTTCTGTATTGTAAAATTGTGCACAAAATACCATATCAAATATGTTTCCATCTTCAAAGTTCAATTTTAGAACTAGTATTTGCCACCAGAAGTAACTGTATTTCCTCTAATACAGTGGTTCCAAACCTTGACTTCCAACTAGTATTTGCCACCAGAAGTAACTGTATACAGTGGTTCCAAACCTTGACTCCCAAGATGCTCTTGGACTGCAGCTCCCAGAAATCCTGACCAGCTCAGTTAGTGGTGAAGGCTTCTGGGAGTTTCAGTTCCAGAAGACCCAAGGTCAGTGGTGACGGCTTCTGGGAGTTTTAGTTCCAGAAGACCCAAGGTTTGGAACCACTGTTAATACATGTACAAGAGAACCTATAACCTTCCCTAGTTTTCCATTGAATTCTTCTTTAACATTTATGACAACTGTGTGTTATGTGTTGTCCAAACCAACTTAAAAGTGACCTGAATTGGGCTTTCAAGGTATGTGAGATATTCAAGGAGACAATGTCCCCCACAAAGTGAGTTTCCATGGCCAAGGTATGATGTGGTGGGAAACACATGTACAAGAGAACCTATAACCTTCCCTAGTTTTCCATTGAATTCTTCTTTAACATTTATGACAACTGTGTGTTATGTGTTGTCCAAACCAACTTAAAAGTGACCTGAATTGGGCTTTCAAGGTATGTGAGATATTCAAGGAGACAATGTCCCCCACAAAGTGAGTTTCCATGGCCAAGGTATGATGTGGTGGGGAACTCAAACCCTGGTCTCTTGAGTCTTAGTCCATCATTCTATCCAATACACCTCACTAAGTATGGGTATGACATTTATGTTTACTAAAATGCTGTATGAAAGAAATTTGTTTATGTAAATTGCTACTTTGTATGCACTTCACTGTGGTGGTAAATTTTGTGTTTAAGTATATATCAGACAAATTTTTGTGGCAGATTGGCATTATGTAATGTACCAATGCATGGCTGCTTGTTCCAACTCTCTGCACAAGTAGCAAGTGCTGCAGGCCAACCGATACAGTACTGTACATTCCTTCACTGTTGCACCAGAATGCAGGTGTCAGACTCCTCAATCTTTTCATTTTCTAAACCTGCCAGAATTTTATCAAGCCCACAGTGAGGACAGGGATGTATACATAGCATTGATAGATACATAGAGAATTCAGCAGACGTGCCTCATGCAATTAAAGCTCCAAGAAAAGCATTTCTCTCTTTACCTAACAAGGCTGCCTTATCTTCTCCCAGCTTAAAGAGGAGTCATAAAGATTACGTAAAGCCTAAGGCAGCTGCATACATAACTTGACTCTGGTAAATGACAGAATATACACAATTATGTTGAAAAGTATTGGGAAGGTGAGAATGACTCAATACTATATAAAACTGAATTTATATTCCAAATGGTTTCAGAAGCAAGTTGTGTCTCTTCTATACATAGTTACTGCTGCTTCAATAATCAGAACAGCTAGTCTCTTTCTGCATCATGTGACAATTATACACACAATAACTTAGGCGTGTTTATTGTGCACTGGTATTTTCCTCTTCCAAGCCGTTTACCCTTTTACATTTCTAAGTTGGCAGTTTACATCCAAGAACAAAGGGTATTCCTCTAACAGTGTACAAATGCTATAAAAGTGCTTTTCCAGCTTCTCTACTTAGGATTGCATATGTGAAAACCAATTTAACTATACACTCATAGAACTAGGACAAGAAACATTCTCAAGATGTAGTCTCTACGCAACAGCTAAACCTCGTCTCAGCAACTATGTCAAATGCCAGTGACCAAATTACTCTCTTCCACTTTGGAAATCCTTTCTACAGCTATTCTACAACTATTCTACCTTTCGCTAGATGGGTGGTATAAAAATGAAACAAAGAAAAATCTTGCATTTCCCAGATCTTTTAGAGGCTGCAAAAATTCCAGGTTAACAGATTATCTCCAAATTGTGCGTTGTGTGACACACAATCTAGAAATCACTTCTGAAGCTATACTGATTTCAGTGTAAATCTTACATGCATTTACATGAATGTATCCTAGTGAACATCACCTACTTTTCTTCAAGACAGATTCTATTACACTGTCCCTAGGTAAATTATTTGTGAACTCTAATCCTAATACTGTACTGTAATCATACTACTTTAAAGATTAAGAAAATTATACAAAAGAATTCAGTTTAACAACTAGTAAAATCAAACTCTCCCCGCCTGTGTCTACTGGGGAGGAGCCAGCATGTGTAGTCATGGGCAAGCTACACAGTCCCAAGATGGCCTCAGAAGAAGATACAGTAATGGAAAACTTCTGTGTATTCTCTACCTAAGAAAACACTGGAAAAGGTTACTGTAAGTCAGAATTGACCTAACAGCATGCAATTATTATTAAAATTGGATAAACACAGTACTATATACTCTGGAGTGGTTCATAAACTGAGCAGAGTCTGTGCCTCATTCTCAAATCTCCCCCTTGAGAATAACCTGTCTATGATATTTTTAGATGTTTGTGTTTAATTTCATGTTGTCATCTTGCTACCCACTATAATCATCCAGTTTAACTGCCTGTACACCTGGGATTCTTAACTTGTCCAGCAACATTTTTTGCATCAAATTAATTTTACACAAAATTTTGTATGTGCTTATGTGTATTTTTCTGGGTAACAGTATGACAGTTTTGATCAGCTTCTCAAAGGGGTTCATGATTTTTTTTTAAAGGTTAAGAACTACTATCCTACATCAAGGGCTGGGGGCCTCTTTCAGAGTTCAATTGCAGACAAGCTCTTGAAAGTTGCATTCTATTGATGAAGGGGTCCAAAATTACCATTTCCCCGAAAACAAGACCTAACCTGAAAATAAGCCCTCGTACAATTTTTTAAGGTTGCTTGTAATACAAACCCTATTTCCCAAAATAAGCCCCAGTTAAGTGAAACCCCACCCTCCACCACTATGCAACAACCAGAAGAAGATGCCATGATTATATCTGAATAAATGTAGAATGTTGTACATGAAAAAAATTCCCTGAAAATAAGCCCTAATGCATTTTTGGAGCAAAAATTAATATAAGACCCTGTCTTTATTTTTGGGGAAACACGGTAATAGCATATTTAGCAGAAAGCACATCTATCAGTCCTTAAGAGGTGCACTTCAACTTTTCTGGGTGAAAAACATACAATACATAGCTAAGAAACCATATGATGGTTTCACATGGGGGGGTGGGTTATCTGAGAACTAGGTATCTGAGAAACCCCAGAAAGTTGGACTGACCTCAGGAGATTCAACCCCAGAGCCTGAAGTTCCCACTCCTACAATAGATTATAGTTGCTTAAACATGACTCAAAAGGTTCTCCAATGTAGTCACCAAAAGAGGCACAGAAGGAAACAACAAATAAGGTCAAGTAAGTAGAAATGCCTAATAGTGGCAGGAGTTAAAAGGTGGGCCACATTTGGGGTGGGTGGTGGGTGGGAAGAGAATGGACAAGTGCAGCTTTCCTGTAAGCAGCTGCCTGTCACTGTCGGTCCTTTCCCTATATAAATCAGTAAATTAATTTGCTCTCTCCATATGTCAAATCTGCACATCCCAAGAACCATTCAGCCGAGAGGCACCACTGTGGCCACATTAAGAGAGTCCTGATCAAAAACAACATCTGAAAGTAACAAAATACCCTTGTGGCAGAAAGTCAGAAAGCCTGCGTTACTTCAGAGAGTCAAAAGCATTCTCTGAAATCCAAATTCTTCAGACTAAAATGTATGTAGTTTGAGGAGGGGGGGGAAGAGAGTATCAATTTAATACACTCAGCATCACCAAACAGTATCAACCTCTTGATGCCACTGGGCCATGTCCTGCTCGCTTTCCATAATTTCTGCTTCTTTTTTGCACATTTATTTTCGACCTCTTTTATATAAGTCTGTGGACCTGCGCGTCATCGTTACGACCACGATGGGCAGCAGCCTTGCCCAAAAAAGCAAACCGTCGCTGAGTAATTTGCTCAAAAGCGCTTCCTGACGTGACAGCCGCGACCCGACCGAACAAGCCCTGCCGGTGAAAGCCCGCGGGGCTGCCTGTCACCAGGCTTGGGAGCTGTCGCGCTTCTCGGGCCGAGGTTTGGCTCCTTCGCCCTGGCAAGGGGCTCCGGCAGCCCCAGGCGCCCTGCCTCGACTGACTGCCCGTCCGCCCGCCCGCCCCCACCTCGGTGGCGCGGTTTGCCGGCGGGGGTTTTGACCCTTTTGCTACCAACTCCTTCCTTTGACAGAAACCTTCGCTTCACTTCTGAATCCCCTGGCACCAAAATGAGTTCTTCCGCCCGCTCCTTCCCGCGCCCCGACCCGCTCAACTCACCGCCAACGGTTGATGCCCACCGAGGAGGAGGCCGCGAACCAAGGGTCCAAAATGTAGATACAGCGCACGGGGCCCCCATCACGGAGAGCTGCTTGCAACGCCGGGTTGTCGTGAAGGCGCAGCCCCCGGCGGAACCAGTGGACCGAGCAGCCGCCGCCGCCGCCGGGCGGTCGAGGCGCCGAACCGGGAAGAGCAGCCATGGCCAGAGCAGAGCAACGAGCGAACAAACAACCTCGGCCTCGGCTCAGCCACACGCTCTGCTCCTCCCAGGCCCGCGCCCGCCGCCCCTAACCCGGGCTAAACTCCGCCTGCCGAAGCCCATTGGCCGCCTCGGCTACATAACTCGGCCGCCCCCAAGCGGAGGCGGCGGCGCACGTTTCTGCAGCGTGTTTTTGGGAGGGCGGAGGCAGCTGGAGGGAAGGGAGGAAAGGAGGGAGGCTGCGCGGTGGATGGGAGGAGCCGCCGGGCATGGTCTCCGCACCCGTCGCTGGAACCTACAGTACAGTACAGTACAGTATCTGAGATCCCATGCGTTGGTTGTGTGAACCCAAAAAGTGAAGGCAAGGGGGCTTGTTTAAAAAAAGCATCTTGATGTAGGTGAGAACAGGCGAAGCACGCTTTGTTATGGAAATACACCCTGACATAAGAGTGTAAGATCTGACGCGTGTTCATTGGGCGTAAACGAATTATTGGAGCTACTTTCTGCGCACCTCACCGCTTACGCCCAGTCCTGTTGGCCTCCCTCCCACTCCATGTATACGTAATGTGATGTAACACGCTTATATCAAATCATACGCCTGTGAGAGGCATGAAGATTCCCAAATGGCGTGAAAAAAACGGTGCTATAATAAAGGACTCATGAGCCGATCCCATTGCATTTCGCGAGCTCAGGAGTATTTATCCTCTACTGGAATATATGGCACCGGGAAGGGTTTCCAGCACCTGGTCGTTGGAGGCATACTTGTTATACTATCAGATATTGCTTCGGCAGGTGGCCAACAGCAGATCTGCCCGTCCTATGTTTATGTAATCTCCTGAATGCTAGTTATGGCTATCCTATACTGTAACATCCTGTACCGCTCCTGTGATCAGCATCTTATCACAGGGTGAGCCCTTCCAAATGACCTGATGGGAAAGAAATGAGAAAAGAAGCGGAAGCAGACCTGTCCTCAGTGCGAACTGTATTTATTTAGTAAAGAAAATTCAGGAGTCGGGCTACCTGGGGTTTATACCACGCAGTATCCTCCTGCTGGTATGGTTGGGATCTGTTTAAAACACCTTCTACAGAAATATCCTTGTTAGAGCACTCCTACCTGGCCCTTATGGGGATCAATCTGCCCCTGACTGGTCTAGGGTTGGAGCCTACTGTTTATTTGCAGCAACTAGCATGGGTCCCAATAAACATGGTTTTCTTGCTGTGACCTCAACAGCAAGAATCGATCCAGTGTGGGATTGGTGTGTGTGTGTGTTCTTCCCGCAGGTCCCTGGTGATGTAGAGGTGGGTGTGGTCTGGCATGGCTGTGGATAGCACCCTCTGTGCTTTTTTGAAGTGAGGAAAAGGCGTGTTTCTTTTCTTTTTAATTTTTTTTTTAAAAAACAATGCTTTCCCACTATTGTGCTATAATGCTTAACATGAAAATTACTCCTGCAGCCCCTGGGCTGAAGGTGATATCCTAACTGTGGAGCTTTACCTGCTACTTTTGCAAAGTTGATGATGCTCAACATCTGTCAGTGAAGACTACATATCATAATAGCACAGAAGGCCGCGATGTTTATAGAGAGAGGGGTTGGGTGGGAGAGAGAAAGAGAAAGGAAAAAAAAATAAATCCTTTTCAGAAATAAAGAGAGCCAACAGGTCACTTAGGATTCTTCAGAGGTGAAATGATGCAATGCCATGCCGCTTACCAACAATTAATTTTTAAAAAGATGGAGAAAAGGAGAAGCTCAGGGCTAAAAGTAGCACTCCATACCTTCCCCCGTTGTGTGTATAAGACCACAGCATTAGTGTCCACCCATGAACAAATGGAAGCAGGTTGTTTCCAACTGGCTGACAGCTATTGCAAAAGAGAAGGCAGGAGGCAGAGTGTGAGAAAGTGAGGGACACATCACGACCAAGCGGCCCAAAATGGAACATGTACTTGACTAGATGGCAACTACAGGGGCTGCAGAAGTAATTTCCATGTTAACAGAAGAAGAAATCTTATCAAGCTGCCACCGTTCCAAAGTGATCCAGATTATATTGTTTCCTGTTGCTAAATGTAGCTGTACCCACTTCGAACTCAATATGATATTCACATCCAGCTACATATTATTAAATTATAAGAGTGCAGTTTTCACACAACACAAGCATTGACATTATGGACATGTAATACAATAAATATGTGTCATTGAGTTGACTTTCCAACTTTTTTTTTTTTAGGTATTAAAGTATTCCTGTGTATTTCACCATTTCCTTCTTGTGGGACTGCTGTGCAATTGGAAGGTCACATAACCCTATCAGCCATCCAGTACACATTCTGGGTGATCTCAGCTGGCTCCTCTCCGAGGAATGACAGTGGGGATTTGAACTCCGAGATCTTGGTTCCGCAGCCATGTGTCCCAACCAACTGATCCCCAGAATAAATCCCTGTAAAATCAGTAAACATAAAGGGCTCAAGAGAAGAGAATGTGTAGTCTTTCAGATATTGCTGAGCTGCAGCTCTTATCAGTCCTGACCAACAGCTGGCATAACTAAAGGTAAGGAGAATGGGAGGTGCAGTTTAAGAATATCTGTAGAGCTACATGCTCACCACCTCTGGACTAAACACAAGGCTGTGACTATCATTGTGTCTGTTATGTGTCATCAAGTTGGAATCACTTGGAGCAACCCTAATAGGACTTTCAAGGTAAATGAGATTCCTGTTTATTTATTTTATTTTATTTTATTTTATTTATATCCCGCCTATCTGGTCGTTTAAGACCACTCTAGGCATGTTAGTTTCCATGGATGAGCAGAATTTAGACCTTCACTCTACCCACGAAACCACATTGGGTATTATATCTGTCATTTGACTGCACAGGATTATTCTTCAGATGGCCTTTTTATGAAAATGATTCTTTCTAGAAAGGTATTTGGGACATAGCAAATTGACTTAAGTGCCTTTCTGATATATTATGCTTAATTTTTATGATATTTTTGGTGCTCTTGCTTCCATTTTCAAAGCATTTGATCACATTCTGTGTGGCTTATTAGTGAACTTTTATCTATTTTCTTCCACCAAAAAAATTGCTAATATGATATCAACGTTAACATTACATAAATTAACATACCATATTAACGTTGTTGATACTGTTAATATTTTTTCATTGCTCTTAATTGCTTTTGACAGGAAGCCAAGGTAAACTGAAATAAGGTAAAATTCAAATAAAATCTTTCTTGCCTCCTGCCCCCCAGATCTAATGTGGCTAATGGAGTTCCTACCTGCTCTGCAGAAGCTCCAAGGCAGAGCCTCCCACCCACTCTCAGTTCCTGAATGTTTTCAGAGACATACAGTAGCCTATTTTCTCCAGTGATTGGATTCCTCTGTGTGTATTTGTTCTCCCTGTCGCTGGTAGTGTCAAGAGGAATCTTTAATCAATGGCTGTAGACAGTATCATAGAATAATTGAGTTGAAAGGAGTCTATAAGGCAGTCAAGTACAACCCCCTGTTCAATGCTGGAATCCAAATCAAAGCAGATCTGACAGATTGTTGTCCAATTTTCTCATAAATGCCTCCAGCATTGGGATGCTTACCAAATCCCTAGGGAATTGGTTTCATTGGCATACTGCTCTAATAGTTATGAATTTTTTCCTGATATTCAGCTGAAATCTGCCCTCTGGTAGCTTGAGCCCATTGTTAGATGTCCTGCATTCTGGAATGATTGAGAACAGATCCTGCTCCTCCTCTGTATGCCTACAAGTATTTGAAAAGTGAGGTCACGAAGGACACGACTAAACAACAACAACAAAAAACATCCCCAGTAGACATTACTTTTCGGCTGTCCTATTCAATAAGATATGCAGTACTGAAAGTTGGCCATGGATTCATATGGTATTTGTAGGGGCTGACTGAATCCTGACCTTGTGTCTTAGCTGGCTCTTGCAAGTAGCAGCTGAATATGCTTTTCTCCCCTCTTCCTTTTTGGACACGACTAAACAACAACAACAAAAAACATCCCCAGTAGACATTACTTTTCGGCTGTCCTATTCAATAAGATATGCAGTACTGAAAGTTGGCCATGGATTCATATGGTATTTGTAGGGGCTGACTGAATCCTGACCTTGTGTCTTAGCTGGCTCTTGCAAGTAGCAGCTGAATATGCTTTTCTCCCCTCTTCCTTTTTCCCCATGCAGGATTTAGGTGGCTCCAATACTAGCCAGCCAGGTAGATGAATGACAACTGACAAAAGCAAAAGTCCCATCTAATCTATTTTGAGCCTGTGCTTATTTGTCCTTATCCATTCTGTTACTGTCCAGGCTTTGGTTCAGAGCATCCACGTTAGCCTAAGATGAGAAGTAGAGATGAATGTCTTCTGCATTAGGGTTGACAGCTACTCTACATCAGAGGCTGTGATTACATTGACAAATGCTTTCGGGTCAGCTCTGCAATTTTAAAAAAAGTGAATCCTATTTTTTTAAAACAAAATAAAAGCAAGGGGGAAAAACTATAATACGCTGGTAACAGGTGCCTAATCAGAGCTTGGGAAAATTGTGGAATGACAGCTCTCAAATTAACTTTTCCAAATTCTGCCCATAATTTGTTTGTTTGTTTGTTTATATACCGCCCATCTGGCAGCCAAGGCCACTCGGCGGTTAACAGAGTGGTCGCAATGACCAGATAGGCGGGGTATAAATGGAATACATAAATTAAATAAATAAATAAATAAATAAAATAACAACAAGTAAACAATAACATGACCACAAAAACTCAACAACAGCCATAAAAAATAAAGGTGCAAAACAAAAATGCCATAAAATACAACAAAAAGTATAATAAAACAAAACAAAAGAAAAGAACATGAAGAGCGTGGCAGTAGACTAGATGTTATGTTATCGGAAGCACTATTTCATCAGAATGGTTTTTTTTAAAATCTGGGACGGACTTTCTAAATAACCAGGGTTTTAGTAGTTTTTTAAAGGGTGCCCAGTGAAGGGACCAAGCGGACTTTGAGCGGGAGGCTGTTCCACAATTGCGGAGCAACCGCCAAGAAGGCCCGATTCCTGGTGGTTGTTTTCCAGGCCTCTCTTGGGGTCAGCACTCTCAGCCGCCCTGACTGAGACAATCTTACTGGACAGGCAGCCCTGACAGGAAGGTGATGCTTGCCTATATATCGAGGTCCTAAACCATTTAGGGGCTTATAGGT